AATAGCCCTAGAGCTGCTATGAACATTGGAGTGCGTGTACCTTTTCAAATTGTAGTTTTGTCTGGATATATGCCCAGGAGTGGGGTTGCAGAATCATATGACAACCCTGTTTTTAAAAAGACACTTTATTTGAAAATCCCTGCAATATCTAGCCCAACCCACAAATGCCTTGTCAAGATGCAGGCATGTTCCCCGTGTGTCTGGCTGACTGGTCCTCTTCAACCCACTCTCTGCCTTCCCTCCTTCCCCGTACCGCAAGCTCCAAGGAAATGGGACCCATTTTACTTAAAGCAGCAGATATGAGTGACTTGTCCTATTACTTCCCAATGAGTAAATAACATGGATAATTCATTTCATCCTTTACAGAGAACTTTAGGGCGGTGTGGGGCAGGGGGGTGGGGAGCTCCAGCTTGATCACTAAAATGAGTTTTACACCATTTAGGTGAATCTAAATTGTGTCATAATTTTGTCATCAGCCTGTAACTTGTCAGTCATTAGTGGCAGTGGTAATTTCTTTTTCTTCTGCACGAGTCTTAGAGCTTCCATTTACTAGATTTACTAAAACAGGAATAGCCACTTTGTGCATTTTAATTAATTTTAAATAAAAATTTGGATGTACAGTACTGTGCTCCTTTAAAGCCTTAGGAAGAGGTAAGAGAGACAGGGACGTAAAACTTCCCACTCTGATTCCAGAACCACCTCCCACCCACAACCAGGGCAAGAACAAGATGAGATCTTTCTGTTAGTATTTTTCCAAGTTGTGGTGGTGGTGGTGTCTGTGCCTTTGAGACCTGGAAGTCAGTTTGGTGACTCAGTTTGGAATGTCACAAGGGAACATCTGTTGATTTAAATACCAGGTGTCAGCTACCGTCTGGGGTCCTCAAAGATCTTCGCACACATACTGCTCCCAACGACTCAAAGAGACAGTTTTTTTTATGGCGAATGTGGGTCTCAGAGAAGTTGAATAATCTTGTCAGAATCCCACAGCTGGTAAGTGATGGGTCAGGATTTGATCCCACATCTTTCTGGCAGCAAAACCCTTGCTCTTTGCACTTCTGTTCCATATCACTTGCAGGCAGGTGGAGTCAGAAATATCTGTCCTATAACTTGCTATAAAAAAAAAAAACTTGTAGACTTAGTGATAGTAAAATTAGTTAGAAAAGTTATTAATGCAGGAGGTCCTTACTTCATGTGCAGCCTCCCAGGTGAGGATCAGGCTGAGCCTTACATCCTGTGATGCTCTGGGTTGAGTTATGTCTGAGGATGAGTCAGTTACCCTGACGGAAGGAATTCTCTATGATGCAGGTCATCAGTGGCTACCAGAGGGGGCTCATCTGGCATTTGTACTCTGTCCCATGGCAAATGGGTAATTAGAGAGCTTCAAGCTTCTTTAGTCTGCCTTCTACTTTTTCTTTTTTTTTTTTAATGTGACATCAGTGGAGCCTGGCAAGTGTCCTGCTTTATGGAGAACATCACAGTGTTTTGCATTTTTTTACCACCCTCCCGGTGAGCATGCAGCAAACATATTGAAGGAAGGCTGCATTTAGAATGTAGAGAACTCTCTGACCTGACTGTTCTCCCTTTTTTTCCCCTGAGAAATGTAAGTAGGTCACATTTTAAACCAGGCACCTGGTTTTAAATAAAATCCATGCTTACATTCTAGAGAATTCAATGTTTTTTCACCACCTTAGAGTTTTTGCAGAAGAGAAACTGTTTCAATATGAACAAAGAAAATAATCCTAACTTTATTTTTCAATTGATAAAGACAATAATTTTTTCCTCTTTGCTTCTTACCCTCTTCCACCTTTGGGGCAGAAGGAATGTACAATGGAAGCCCATTGGTGGTGATTTAATGCAACTTTCTCTGCCATCCAGAACTAGTCTAATATATAACCCTCAGGTCAAAAACAGCTCTTGGAAGCTCATCCCACTAGATACGCACACTTCTCACTCTTTTCCCTCTTGAGTGTGCGTGGCTGGCAGGGGGTAAGAAATGGTGCTTATTCAAGTCTTCCCACTAAGAGATATCTTCAGTGTTACCTAGATCAGAAAGGGCAAGTGAGTTTTCTCTTGTCTGCCTGCTCCCAAGTCCCAGCCAGGGCGCTACATTGAAGGTTTTCAGGCTTTTTCTAGACTCAGGGAAGCAAAATGCTTTGATCTGTCTCTGCAGAGGTGCAGGAAGGGAGAATAGTGCCTCATGGATACTCAATGGCCATCCCTGACCTAGAGCTTAGCATGAGTGTATCATGGGGCACTAACATGGAACCGATGTACTTTGTCCTGGAAACCCTCTGCAAACTTTGAGAAAGCCCATCATTTCTCATACTTGTTCATATTAACACAGTCTCTAATTTTGAATCTCGGGTTTCCTGGTTTAAAACTCTTCCCTCTCCCCTCTCGCAGACAATCAGCATGGGTAGCAGCTCTATGGGTCTCTCCACTCTTGAAAATAGAAGGCAAGTTCTCTATATTTAGAGAGATTTTATCTAAATTTAACATGTAACTTTGATGTTCTCACTTTTGAACTCATTCTTCTTTTCTGGTATTAATAGAGTCGTAAGGATAAGAATTCTACTGGAAATGGTCTTTTTTTTTTTTTCACCTATTCTACTATAAAGCATCTGTTGGGCAGGGGAGGAAATAGCCCCTCCCTCATATGTCAACTGTTGAGATGTTTTTGTCGTACAACATGAGGTCCACTCTAGAAATTGTTCTTTCCACACCTCTCATAAATGACCATGTAGTGCTTGCCCACACCCCCACCACTTGGGAATCACTGAATGAATCAGGAACGTAATAGAAATATTTACTCGATCAAGGCAACATTGATGAATGTAGCACTAGAAGAAAATCAACAGTGATAACCATAATCTTGGCCTTTAGTAATTTACTATATCTTTGGGAAATTAAACACTCACAGACGAAGAATGAATTACTATAAAAAAATAAACAGCATGACAACAAAAGGGGATTGATAAGGTGGGTGGGGCCATTATTACGGAGTGATCTGATTAGATATGGTATCACATCAGAGGATGGGGAGACCATTCCAGTTGTACACACTGGACTGTACAACTGTACTGTGTGACTGTAGAATTCTTGGAGCCACTGCATTACAAATCGCAGATAAACCAGGAATCACTAAGAACACCTCTGTAGGTCATTTGAATGTAGGTCTCTGAATGCCAGTTCCATAACCTGGAACAGTGTCCTCATTTTAGGCTCACACTAAAAGCCAAGTTCTTCTAAGAGATTCTTGTCCACAGTAGTAGATATAATGATATGATCGTCAGATTAAATTCACCCATTCCTGTCCATTTTAGTTCACTGATTCCTAAGATGTTGATGTATTCACTCTTGCCATCTCCTACTTGACCACATCCAATTTACCTTGATTCATAGACCTAACATTCCAAGTTCCTATACAATATTGTTCTTTATGGCATTGGACTTTACTTTTAGCACCAGGCACATCCACAACTGAGCATCATTTCCACTTTGGCCCAGCATCTCCATTCTTTTTGGAGCCATTAGTAATTGCCCTCCACTCTTCCCCAGTAGCATATTGCACACCTTCTGACCTGGGGGGGCTCATCTTCTGGTGTCATATCTTTTTGCCTTTTTGTATTATTCATGGGGTTCTCACCACAAGAATACTGGAGTGGTTTGCCATTCCCTCCTCCCAAAGGCAAAAGAAGAAGGGGGTGGCAGAGTATGAGATGGTTAGATAGTGTCACCAGTTCAATGGACATGAATTTGAGCAAACTCTGGGAGATAGTGAAGGACAGGGAAGCCTGGCGTGCTGCAGTCCACGGGGTCACAAAGAGTCAGACATGACTTAGTGACTGAACAACAGAAGGCAGGCTGGAAATTCAGATTCTTTACAAACTGACCCTGGAGTGAAAGCCCAAAGCCTGAAGATGACCACCAAAATCCCACTGTTAATGACCTCCAAAAGGGCAGTATCAGCATAATTGAAGCCAAACTGGTGAGAATGGCTGGTAATTCATACCAGGCCATCCCCTCTGATTGTCGGCCTTCTTCATCTCAACAAATGAAAGAGGGTCCCTGCTGATAAGAACTGCTAGAGATTCCGTGTCTTTAGCCTGCCCTCCCCGTCATTTTTTTTTTAAGGCCAGACATCTTTCCTCTTTATTCTTTGTCACACATCACCCTTTGGGGTAGGCACAGTTATTTCTTTGTGGTCTAGATAAGGAAAGTGAAGCATAGAGAAGTTGTGTCTCAACACTGGCCCATTCCCTTCCTTTTTAATGAACATAAACTTACCAGGAATAGCAGTTGACTAATCTGAAGGTAAAATATTCAGCAAAATGGGTCCCGATCCCCATTACCAACAACAGCAACAATACTTGCTTGTCCTTGCAGCTTAGTTAAGGGCACAGCTTAAGAGGTGAAGCAACCTGGTTTCCCATGGGACCCCCTACTGTTGAATTTTGTGATTTCAGCAAAGTACTTTCCCCAGTCTGAGCTTCACCTATAAAATTGGATTGTGATTCTAACTCCACCTCACTGAATGATAATGACGATTCAGCAGTAAATTGTACCTAAAGCACATCTTATGCCATGCCCAGAGTATAATAAGCATTCAGTTGATGATAACTGCTTTTATTAGTAGCATTTTAAAATTAATTTTTATGGGAGTATAGTTGACTTACAATGTTCTACTAGTTTCTGTTGTACAGCAAAGTGAATCAGTTGGACATATGTCCACTCATGTTTAGATTCTTTTCCCATGTAGATCATTATAGAGTATTGAGTAGAGTCCCCTGTGCTATACGGCACGTTCTTACTAGTGATCGTTAGTAGCATTTCTGTGGTGGTGGTGATTGTGTATTTGAAAATGGCTCTGCCGAGCCCGTGGCCCAAGTCCTCAGCGCAGGCAGCGCTGAGAGGCCCAGCAGGCTCTGCCTCCGTAGGCTGACACAGCCCTTGGAGCTCTGGGCCCCCTGACCTGGTGCTCTGTCTTCGCTTCTTGCAGCCGCCTGCCCCGTGCTGTGCAGCGGGAATGGACAGTACTCCAAAGGGACGTGCCAGTGCTATAGCGGCTGGAAAGGCGCGGAATGTGACGTGCCCTTGAATCAGTGCATCGATCCTTCCTGCGGAGGCCACGGCTCCTGCATTGACGGCAACTGCGTCTGCTCAGCCGGCTACAAGGGCGAGCACTGCGAGGAAGGTAAGCCCGCGGGCTGGGCTGGTGTCTGCAGGTCTGGACCTTTGCTGATGAGCCTAGTCCTGGCTCCCTGTTTGGCAAAGGAAGAAAACATTTTACATTTCAAAGCCCTCAGCTTTGATGAACTTCTTAAATTGTAGAACTTGAGAGAGTGAGCTTAAGGGTGGCTCTGAAAGGCATGGTCTGTTTTCCCCTCCTTTGTGATAATTAGCTCCTTTTCTCTTTCTCCTTTGTTTTTCTATCTTCTCTCTCCTTCTACTTCCTCCCCTTCCTGCTCTTTCTGTTCCTTTTCCTTCCTTCCCCTTCCCCTCTTCTCCTCTTTTTTTTTCTGCTTTATTTAAAGCCCTCTACATTGAGAATTATGCTATCCAGTAAGAACAAACAAGAATCCTTAATTCTCCTCCCTTCCCCAAAGCTTTAAAAAAAAAAAAAAGCAAAACAAAATTGTCCCTGGTGATCTCAGATCCATATATGTCTGTGTAAATATTTCTGCAAAAATTCATGTCCATAGAAGGCAGTCAGGCTTGAGAGACGATAGGTACCCATGTCGTTTAGAGACACCACGGAGAGCAAACGATCCTGGTTACCTGCAGTCACAGAGCCAGAGGAGAGAGGGTGTGTGGTAAGAAAGCTGGGATTTGATGAGTCCCGAGGAGCTCACTCTATGCTTTAAAGTGGCCTCTACACATGGCGGGGGAGAGGGGGAATCAGAGGATGTAATCAGCTAAATCCAGTTTGACGAAACAGGATCAGACATCAGGCTTAGCGATTGAAAGAGGGAGGTTTTGGGGCAGAAAATGCAGGAATACAGGGAAAGAGCACCCCTCTGGAGCTGTTCAGAAACGAGCTCTACGTAGTCCTAGTTACTCCAGTTGGTGCTTCTAAAAGTCGTTTGGTAGCCAAGTGTTGGGACCTGTGTGGCAATGGAACTCAGCCAAGCTGCCTGTCAGCCTTCTCCTCTGTGTTTGCCCTTCCAGACTATGGGCTGTAGTTGCCCATCTGTTGCATCTTCCCATATAAAGAATCAACCCCCATTGATAGGAAGGTAAAAGACCATTCTTCTCAGAACCTCACCCGCTTCTCAGCCTTTGCATTGGAAGTCTTCAACATCTTTCCACTCAGTCCATCACCCAGTGAAATGTCCCCATGCAACCCAAACAGCTCTTCCTCTCCCATCCTCCCACTGGAAAAAAGAAGCATCCACTCGCCCAACAAATTCAGGGAAGGACTGAAGCCCACTGCCTCCCCTGTAGGAAACAGCTTGAGATGACCACCCAGGAATGCCTCCCCGGAAAAGAGCCTTGAATGCCAGATACCCATGTTCTCTCTCAGCTTCTCACTGCCAAGCTGCTTAAGAATGGACCTCGGATGCCACGAGGTTCCTAGATGCAAGTGGATCTGTTCTCTCATCCTGTTATTTTACAGATCTCTGGGTTTTTGTACAAACTCACCAACCATTACAGCCCTCACTACAGGGGAATGACAATGGCTTACCCTTAGAAACGCATACAAAAGCTCCCATTGTAACATCTCCCATTTCATGGTTTTTAGAACTATTTTCACAAGGCTCCGCTTCCGTGACAGTATTCTTCTAAGATTTTCCAATACATCAGTGCTAGGGCCCTTAATGGGACCCAGGAGTGTGACCCCCCGCCCCAGGTCATCACTTACTCAACTCTCTCTCTATTTTTTCTTCTATTATAAAAAGTAGGCTTCCTCCCTCTGTCTGCATCATAAAACCAAATTGGGAGTTTGGATGGAGGAAGTGCTGATTTCATAAAAAGGTCAAAGTTCTTAAAGATAAATGGACTGCAGGAGGCAAAGCTTCATTTTGTGAAAACATGGGAGAGGCCAATAACATGACAAGAAAGGTTAAAACGACCTTTTGCATACATCATTTGGCAAGAGGATCGTGATAGAACCATGGCATTGCCCATCTTAGAATTTTTTCTGTCCAGGAAGTCTTGTGTATATCTGTATGAGTGGAATTTCAAGTAATTTCTCAACGTTCTCACTGTCCCAACTGGTCTTATTTAAATGTTTGGAATGAATTAAACATCCAACAAAACAAGGAAGTCACGTGGATCATTATGAAAGGATGAAGTTTCCTCTATTGATTTCTGCTACCCCAAAAGAATGAACCGAAATGATTCATATGCTGTTTTCAAAACAGGAAATGGAATCAGAAAGCCCGGATCAGCACTTTTTCTTCCATTTAGCTTTTTTTTCTTTGATATTCATCATAGTCATAACGTTCACACAATTTACCTGAAATGGCCATGGCAATGAAATCAATAGCTGCCATCCTCTGTTTTTGCTGCCTAAACATTGTTGTACTATTATCAAATTTGCACAAGAAAATGAAAGGACAGATTCGTGAGGTTTCACTCAATGATATCTGGGGGCGTGGGAAGGTGACGAGAGAGGAATTGACAGATTAGTTTAAGTCAGCCATGTTTTCATGTCAGTTTCATGGTTGAGTCATTTTTCAATGACATTTAACTTCATAAATGTAATTCATGGTTCTTCAGGGGGTTATAGTACATATTGTTTGTAAAACTCCTTGACCTCCTTTTTTATCCTTAGGGATAAAAATTGCATTCACAATCCTTTTTTGTCAAACCTACAGAGGGCCCAAGACTAAATGAGTTCTAATGATTTCAGCTGCCAAGGGGCTGGTGGTATAAGGCACATGGTACTTAGCTGGTAAAGGCCACTGTCCCCCTTTTAAGTATAACACTGTTTCTATTTATAAAGCTTCGTAAAATGCCATCCTCCCTCCTGCCTGCTGAAGACTCTAAGGACGTGACCACAAGACCACCTTATGAAATTGGAACCAAATTTAAAATTCATAGTGAAACTATTCCCCTTAAAGTCTGAATTTAGTTATTCTATCGGCTGCTGTAATTACGTAGCACAAAGGGCATATTTACTGGTCTCAATGACCAGAGAAAGAGTTATCTCCCATCTCTAGATACAACAAATGGCTCTTTTGATGACATACCACTCCAAGGCTAATAAATCTCAGTGGATTTTCCTCCTTCCTTCACACTGTAATTCAGGATGGAGCAGAGAAAGCTAATTTAAATCTGGAAGAAAAGTGCCATTTTCTTTCCTTTTTTTTTTTTTTTTTTGGTATATTACTTTTTATGTCATCCTTTTAAGAAAATGATTATATTACAGTTTCTTCGGTTTTTTGAAAGCTCCTAGCTTTTGGCACCTCACCAAACATTTTAAGTGGCTAATTATAGATGGGCAGTCATTATTGAGGTGCAGAGCACAGGAGGTATTTTCATGTACTTGTTGCTTTCTCTATGTCCGAAATGAGGACAGAACTTTGGGGTTTTCTTTTATGAAAAGAATACAGACAAGATTGATGCTTAACAAGTAAGTTCATATTCTGCAGATTCCAAATTACACTACATTCTTCCCCAAAGCAAGACGTTGTTAGCACCCTTTTGTCCTTCTTGTCAGTTAGTCCTTCTCGCTGAAAATTTATCTTGTTAACAACAATGCTTATGGCAAAGTCTGCTGTTCTTCCTCTCAGCAGATGTGTATTGAGCACCTACTATATTCCCTTGACTGGGCAAGGCATGCGATGTCAAGGGCATTGCACAGCCTCTTTGTGAGTGTCTTCCACGTGTTGGAAACTTTCAGTTCATTTCCAGCCACATGTGCCCCACCCGACTGAATGGAGCAAATTAGAAAGTATCAGAAAGGGTTGATGTCATCAGGAGTACTAATCCTCAAGAGAATGAATTCAGCCTGAAAGTGGTTGTAATCAGAGCAAGTAACATCATAAACATCTCTAAGTAATAATAAATCACTGAAATGTACCTTTCTGAGATAGCATTCCTGATTGGAAAAAAAAAAAAATCAGTGGCAGCTTTTGTTTCCTCATGGCTCAAATAATTTGGAGCTGATTTGCATAAACAGTGTCTCCCTGAGAAGGTCCAAATGGGATCCTGAGGAACATCTCTTAACACTGAAAATTCTTACTTTTTGCCTGAAGGCAGAGGTACTCTTTGGAAGCTTCATGGAATATCATGAATTCAGTTAAATCCAAGTTCTAGAGTCTGATGTCCCCTAGAATGAAGTAGTTCAGATAATCTAAATCACGCCATATTTGGAGCTAATGTACCATCAGTTTTAAAATAACACCATTACTTTGTATATCATAAGAAAGAAAAAGAGCTACTACACTGCAAAAAGCTGGAACCCCAAGGGGTTGCCATCTGAATGTCATGGTGAACTATTTAGACAACAAAAATCTTATTTCAGTCTTGGCATTGGGAAAAGAGAGAAATCAAAATCTTCCCTGAGAATCTGAACTACAAGATGGCACACATTCATACAAGGGACTGAATTACACTATCATTGTGGCCCGAAAAACCTCAAGAAAAGGGTTTAAGTGATCTCAAGCTGGCTGTGCCCCCAGATGATGGCAGAAGCAAATGCTTTAATCTATGCCAACAGACCTGATTTCCAAGCTGTTAAAATGAGCAAAATGCATATCTTAGTGAAATAAGATCATAAGACACTCCCCCACTGCCATGATCCACAAGGGAACATCTAAGCCTCATGCAAGATCACTATTCACCACTCAAACCCCAAGGTGTGCAGTGTTCTTTCCTCCAAATGCCACTGCATCATTTTCTTGGAATACGTAAGGAAGCTGGTCTTCCTTTGAAAAGCTGTGTTTACCTACCTGTAAGCTAAATGGAGTGGGATGGGCTTTCCTGGTGGCTCAGACAGTAAAGAATCTGTCTCCAATGCAGGGTTCTTGGATCGGTAAGATCCCCTGGAGATGGGAATACCCACGCCAGTATTCTTGCCCGGAGAATCCCATGGACAGAGGAGCATAAAGGGCTACAGTCCATGGAGTAGCAAAGCGTCAGATATGACTGAGTCACTAACACTTGAACTACACAAGCTAGATGGATATCCTATTTTGGGGTCACATTCTCATACAAAAAGTCCTATCCTTGAGAACTAGCCTTTGCATCTCATTCCTCTCCTCACTCTGAGTTGATTCCAGAGTAATAATCTTCAAGTTACTACTGCGTGTATAACCACTCTGATTACCGAGATAGCCAAGCAATCAGACCATGAAACTGGCCAGAACAACAGTGACAGGAATCTGACCATTAATTTGTCTGATTAACGGTCTGTGGAAGGGTCAGTGACACAGCCAGGGACTGGCCCCTTCAGTCCACTCATGACTATGTGTAGGAAGATTATCCCTTTGGGATCATTTCCATACCCAGCTTTACTTTCTCTGGGCTTCCCTGGTAGCTCAGGCAGTAAAGACTCTGCCTTTACATGTAGGAGACCCAGGTTCCTTCCCTGGGCTGGGAAGATCCCCTGGAGAAGGAAATGGCAACCCACTCCAGTATTCTTGCCTGGAGAATCCCATGAACAGAGAAGCCTGGCAAGTCCATGGGGTCGCAGAGTCAGACACAACTGAGCGACTACCACTTTCACCTCTTCCATCCTGTACATTTACTAACTTCTTGAGTAGATACATGCTCAGAGAGTGAATACTAGTTTTAGACTTATCCTAAGTGAAACTTAATTAGGAAAGTGACTCATGCATGAGTCTCACTGGTTTTCTTTTTCATCTTCTGGTACCTTCTGAAGTCAAGTATTAGTGAAGTTAGACTGAGCCTCTCGACTCTTCTTTCCAATAGTGAGTGATGATTGGGTTTGGTGATACATGTAAAGATATAACCAGCATTCATGGTCCAGTCTCAGAAGCCCTGATGTGGTTCAGTTAAGATACTATTACTTACAACCTTACAAAGCTCTCAAAGTTGGATGACACAGCTCTGTATTCAGTTCCTCTAATTCGGCTTGAGAAATCCCCCTTTTTCCTTTACATTCTCTTCAAGTTTGAGATGTAGTATTTTAACAAGTCAAAAATCTTTCATTCTGTATGGGTCTTCTTCAAAGGGCCCATAAGTATTACTGAGGCTCGCTGCATTTTCTTGCAGGTGGATAGGAATTGGTGAACCACTGGTCCGCTCAGCTCCCGACCGGTGCTCCACGTCCCCTGCCCCATGAGTGATCAGTACTTTTCCCCCCTGTTTTTTCAGTTGATTGCTTGGATCCTACCTGCTCCAGCCGTGGGGTCTGTGTAAATGGAGAGTGCCTTTGCAGTCCTGGCTGGGGTGGTCTCAACTGTGAGCTGGCGAGGGTCCAGTGCCCAGACCAGTGCAGTGGGCATGGCACGTACCTCCCGGATGCTGGCCTCTGCAGCTGCGATCCCCACTGGATGGGTCCCGACTGCTCCGTCGGTAAGTCAAGAGGCTTCCTCCTCGCTTCCCCCAGCACTCACCCCCTGTGTTCCTTCCGTGAGCCCGCACGGTTGGGAATCGACTCTTTGTACTTAGCTCGGGAGGGAGGGACTTTGGTCAGTTGCATAGTACCTCTCTTACTCTGTTCTCAGCCCTGGAGGCTTTGATCCTTGAGAAACATACAAACAAATCCCACATAGGTTCTTGTGCCTCGTTGGTTTCATCCCTGCAAATGGACGAGAGGGGCCCGGGAGGGACGCTTCCATTTGCATTAGAGCTTTCTTATGTACACTCCCTAAAGGTACTAGAAAACAAAACAGAACAATTCAGTCCCAGATGAACTGAATGGAATGTCCTATAAAACAGAAAAGAGGCTCCCTCGGGGTCCTGGGTGAACATGTTATAAAGCTCTGCAATACTCTAGTGACAGGAAAATAATGAAGTTGCACCATACACTTTATTTTCCTAAAATTAAGAGTATGTGTCTTCCCTCCTGAGTGACCTTAAAATGGAACGGTTCAACAGTTCAGGCCAGTCCCCACCTCTCCAAGAACGGTTCCATTCACACTGACAGCACCTATCCAAGCAAGCCATCATCTTTCCGCCCCCTTCCTCTGGGTAGTGAGACAGCTGTCAGATTGCCATGGCAATCAGAAAGGGAACCTGTGTGAAGCTTTGCTACAATGGGAAAGAAGTGAATATTTCATTCCAGAAGGGGGAAAAAAAAAAAAGGAAGATTCCATTAAAATGGGCTATTTTGGGTGTCTTCTCAGCCCCCTCGTTTCTGGCTTCAATTCTGAGACTAGTGGCCCAGGCCAAATGCTACAGAGGATGGGGAGGGCCAGGCAGCCCTGGATCCAAGGCCCAGCTGTGCAGCCGACTCTGGAGTGAATCACTGACCCTCCTGGTGTGGCCTGCCTCCCCAGGCCTGATGAGCCACGCCTCCCTCTGTAGTCTGTTGCAAGGATGAGTGTCTGGCACGTGCTTGTCCTCGAGTGAGAGGTCTGGAACGCCAGAGAGTGCATATCTGTCTGTCTGTCTCCTCCCCAATCACAAAAGACTTTGAGCTCCTTTGAGAAAGAAGCTGTGTAATGCAGCACAGTTAGAGCGGTCCCAATGGCCACCACAATGCCGATCTGGGTGACAGCTGGGTCTGCCGTCCTCCTGTGTGGATGGAGCTGCTGGGGCCCCAACTGGCTTTGGGGCAATACAGGCTCTCAACAGGGAAAGACATCCCAGCTGGCCAAGGAGTCAGGCTCCACGGGTATCATTTCAGGTGGGCACCTCCCAGGGAGCTTTGCCAAACCAGATGGGCAGTGTCTGACCTCTTCCTGGGATGATGGTGTCCCGCCCCAGAACCGCGGTCCGCACACTGCAGTGTGCATCAGAAACACTTAGAGGATGTAGTCAAACAAATTTCTGAGTCTCACTCCCTGCGTTTCTAAGCCAGGAGGACCAACCAAGGCATAAGAAGTTGCATCTCTACATAGTTCCCAAGTGATAGTTGCTGCAGTCAGTCCAGGGGTCTCCCTCTGAGAACACTGCTCTAGAAACTGCCTAACCCTGATGAATGAATACCCGGCCAGTGGAGAGACAGGCCGCCCAAGATGACATGGGCCTTTGGCCGGTTCCAGGGACCCCGGGCCATGCTTGTGGTCTGGTCTCCCACGGAGGGTTTCGCCGGAGGTGGTGTTGAGCTGTAATCATTGTTTTTCTTCCAGAAGTGTGCTCAGTAGACTGTGGCACGCACGGCGTCTGCATCGGGGGAGCCTGCCGCTGTGAAGAGGGCTGGACAGGCGCAGCGTGTGACCAGCGCGTCTGCCACCCCCGCTGCGTTGAGCACGGGACCTGTAAGGATGGCAAATGTGAATGCCGAGAGGGCTGGAATGGTGAACACTGCACCATTGGTAGGCAAACGGCAGGCACCGAAACAGGCACATATTGCTTTATTTTCATAAATCGTAGATCTATAGTGATGGTCGTGCGTTGCAACCGGCTGTTCCCTCAGGGACACGATGCTTCCTGCTGCCTCTCAAATCTCCCCCGGGCGGCGTAGGGAAGGGAAAAGTGTGGTCCTGATTGGAAAAGATTTTCCCTGCTTCCCAGAATTCCAGATTGGGAGGAAAGGGACCAGATTAGAAGAAAACCCATCCAAATTACTGAGCAGGGGAAGAGAGAAATGCACATGCATGGGAAATTGTCAGGACCTGAAGGTTTTAAGTACCCCAAGTAACTGCCGTCTACAGGTCTCCCCTCTCTGAATATCCTCCCAGCTGGCTGGATCACTGGATCCTTGCTTGGTGGCAACAATGGAACTCACTTCTTTTAGATCAGGTTGGATGCAGGCGGGACTCCCAGGTTTCCTGGGTAACCAGGTACCAGTTGTAATAAGTTTGAGCATCCTCTAGCTGTCCAAAGACAAAGACTTTGCCTTTGGGCTCCTGCCTACCACCACGACCATCAATGAATGTCTCCTGCTTTGACCCCATTTCATTCTCACTCAGCCACATCTCTATATAAGCTTCATGATTGAGAATATGTCTCTACAGGTCATTTTCTTTGTTAAGAAGTAGTAGTTCTCAAGTTTCTTCCATTTTGATTTCTTTTTTGTCATTATTGTGGTTTGGGGTAGGACAAAACTGGATTCATTATACCAGTTATCCCTTTAGTGAGGAGATGGGAGTGATTGCCCTCTGGCTTTCCACATCTCTTAGACAGTTGGGGTTAGCTTTTTTTTTTTTTGTATTTGTTATTCAATTAAGTCAGATCTAGGGTTGATTTCATGCCAAGCCTGGCTGAAGCCACTGGCTGGCATGGACACTCTCAGAGAAGTTTCCATCCAAGCTACTAACTTGGCCCCTTGAACTTACCTTTGATTCTAGCCATTGAGTTGGGGGCCCTCCCATCTGCCCTAACCTCAAGACCCCAGGCACCTAGAGTAAAAGGCAGGATTATACGCTGGTCCAGGTCTGACTCATGAGAGCAGACTCAGTTTCCCATGCTGTTCATTTGCGTGGTCAAGCAGAGATAAAGTGTTCTTTGCACTTGGTTTCCCCTAATTCCATCTAATTGGGCATCAGAGAGGGCAGCGTGCCTATCCAGGCCATGACCGTAGCACTGGGACCCTGCCGGGACAGTCTGTTGGCAGTGAATTGTTTTTGCAATCTCTCAATGATGCTCCAGATCCCATGCCCCCCTCCCCCCTGCAGCTGCTTTCATTTACAGTTCCCTGCAGAGTCTGGGGGAAAATGCAGAAGGCTCTCAAGGGAAGGATGCGTACAGCCCAATATCCAGACAGTTTAAAATCATTACCAATAGCTCCTGCTCTTTAGGGGTGCCCCTCTTGAAATCACTTTTGCATGCTTGGTGTGATGTGAATACAGACTCTCCCCCCATGCCTCCATTGCCCTCAGTCTTCCTCCCCAAAAGAGCTCTGGCCAACCAATAACCTTTAGGTGGAAAATTCCACTTTCTCTCAGTTCACACAACCCAGCCTCAACCTCCCCTTTTCCCCCCACCCCACACCTGCCAAGGGTTTAGCATCCCACAGGGATGCCTGCTGGCCTTCTCCATCCTACTACCCATCTCTACTCTGGGAAGAGCTCACAGTGCTGATGGATTAGAGCAGAGCTTGGAAAACTTTAGGCTGAAGGGGGCCAAATCCAGCCTGCTGCCTGTTTTTCTGTGACTTATAAGCTAAGAATAGTTGTCACATTTTTTTAAGGGTTGAAAGAAAAATATTTCCTGACACATGACAATTATATGAAACTTCAGTTTCAGTGTCCATTACACAAGGTGTTAGTTGAGGGCAGCCCTGCCCATGTGTTCGATGTATTGTCAGCTTCTGCACCACTCCTCGGCCTTGAGTAATTGCAGCATGGTCCGTGAAGCCCTTTGCTGTCTGGTGCAAAACATACCAAAAAAAAAAAACGGCTCACACCTGAATTGGAGAGTTGCACCAGTCTGGGTAGAGAGAGAAAAAAAGAGAAGAGGGTCAGCAACTCACTTTAGGGAAAGGACACCAAATGTAACTTGAAGGACATCAGGGGCCAAGAGAAAGGGAAAGGTCCGAATGTCACAGAGAGTGAGGAGAGAGAAAACAACTGTGGCATGGAACTGTCTCTGTGGTCTTTGAAAATGAGACAGAAAGATGGTAACGTGAGTCTCATAGAAGATGGTGAGGATGTGGCGGGCAACAGAGCACAGGAGATGATTCTAGTTAGCCCTTTGGATGGGATGAATTAGAGAAAGGTGTTTTTGCTACTTGAAGCGTTTGGTTCAAGTTTCACATCACTATGAACTCTTGAGAGACAGAGAAAGGTGCAAATTTATATGCCAAGTAAAGGTCCCCCAATGAAGCTAGTGACATCCCAGGAAGGTTTCTCCTTGAGAATTATGATCTCATGTGACTTCATGAGCTTGCACTACTTAAGTTATAAAGGTCTTTATCACCAGTGTCTGTCCTTGTGAGAAATTAGGGCTCTATGGTTTTCTTAGTAGGATCCGTGCCATCTCCTCATAGATTTATTAATATGTTCAGTGGGGCTTTGCTCAAAAAAAGCCAAGCATATCTTGGCTTGGTGAGATTTGCTATTCAAAATCTAGAGGTGTTCGTACACACATAATTGCGCCTTTTGCTTTTCAACCTCTGCCCCCACGGCTGTTTGATGGCGTTTTCGTCTTTTATTTTGAGCAGACACTCCTGTCAATTCACTTTAAGTAAATGCCACAGTTTACAAGCCCAGAATCAGTCCTCCTCCTCAGGGGTACTGACAGTCAGAAAGGAAAGTGAGGCTCTTCGCTTCCTTTCAAGCAGAGCCTCAAATGCTGTGTTTTGAAAATAGAAAATAAGTAAGAATGAAATGGCACCTAGTCTACAAAAAAGGCATCGGCAGGTTTGGGGTAAGACAAAGCAGCGGGTGCTTAGAGTGGGGGTACTCTGGGTTGTCTGTAGTTGTTTTCAAAAGGTCATGGTGCAACGGCTTTCTTAGGGTCATTGCAAATAGTCAGCTAAACAGTTCACGTCAGTCCTCGTGTTTCACATGTATGTTGCTGAAGGAAGCAAGAAGATAGATGCTGGGGTTGGGGAGGGCCGGGATGAGAATGAAAGCACAGCCTCTACAACTCAGTCAAGTGGAATCACCGGAATCTATCCATAGTTGGTCAAATGCATTTCTAGAATTTTTCAACCCAATTATATTTGGATATTTAATACATATTGCTGAAAATTTAAATACAAGGTATCACATTTCAGCGTTAACTGGTAGAGCTAGCTTAATCAATCCTAGGCTGAATTCTACCAGGCAATGAACTTACTTTGCCTCTAACAAGTTAAAAACAGAGGCTAGCTAAAATCTACAGAATTGCATTGATGAGAAATAGGTACTGAATCCAGATCAACTGCAATTCCTGTATATCTTTGGAATATATTAGCAGTATTTGAATAGATGGCAGTTTACACATATGAATAAATCGGAAAGCACATTGTGTGGTGAGAATAGTTTCATTCTTTAAGCATAATCCTAAAATGGGTTGTTTCTCCTATCACCTGCCACCCCTCCCCTGCCTGCCTGTTATTAATACTGAAGATTTAACCTCAGAAGTCCATTCAAAATCTATAACACCAGGGCATAAAGGGAACATAGAATAGGTCAGAAGTGTCTGTGAGTTAGAGTCAAGTCAGATAAACATCTCTTATTAAAAAAATAGAGTAAATGTTAACATGTTTTGCAAACAGAATAGTGGGGCAAAATACAGGGAGAGACCAATGTTCTTATTACCGGAGATTGCAAGAGGAAAGCAAAATGCTAATTGAAGATAGTCACTATTATCTCTTGAATGTCAGCTGTCCAGACACCCACTCTAAATAATACAAGCTAACACGTGCACAGAATAAACCCATCGACACTAGGCTCCAACCCTACGTGAACTCTTTGATATCTGGGTAGCAAGCAATGTCTGTAATGGTTATTCTAGCCTGTTTATTCTGTCTATGTGGTCCTGACCTCCAACTGCATTTCAGAATCATGAGGACTGGATTCCCAGTCCCACATGGTTATGTGGGGCTGAATAACCTGCCCCTGGAACACAAGTCACATCAGTTTTCTTTTCCCTCGATCGCACTGGGGCCCTTCTATTTTTCCTCTTTAATTGGTTGGGGAAAGAACTAGGTTCTTGCGATGTTAATAAGGAAAATGAATCTTTACCCAAGGTAAAAGCAGCCGTGCGAAAATCTGATATGCTGATTAAGTGATTGTCACCAGGAATAGACAGGGTCACAGTCCAGGAGGCAGAGAACTTCAGCGCTACAGGGAACAGTCGGGAAGGAGACGACTGTCGAAATGAACCAACTTCAGACCAGTACAGCTGCTTCTGCATCTCATTCCAGCTTCATTCTAGTTGTAGAAACCTTTTTTTTTCTTGTAGCTATTATCCTTCAACATTTGAGCTTTCATGACTCTACAATGAGATATCAAGTTGAGAGAAAATTTGCCACTGTGGAGCCATCCTTCCTACAGGATCTGTGGCAGCAGCTAATTCTCTGATTCGCGCATTAACCTATTCCTCCTGGAGCCCTTCTTGGAACCTATCCTAGGATCTCCCATCTTTTTTGAAGTGAAAACCTAAAGTGATGCTTGTTTACCACTTAAGACTATGGATAGCAGAGTGAAGAATGTTCCTCTGCTGATTTTTTTTTCCTCCTACACGTTGGCCAGAATGTGAGCCTTTTCACTGAGGATCAGGAATCACCATGTGCCCAGAAGTTGTCTCTGAGTCTGTTCAGGCAGTCTGCCCAGGTTTCCTACCCAAACTCAGAACAAGGGCCTGGTGGCAGTGGTTATGGGAACCCATTTTCAGCTCACTGTAAAAAGTGGAATAAAATGAAAGGAAAAAACAAGAAGAAGAA